AAGGCCTGATGGGCCATGGGCGCAGGGATCGATTCCACGTGTGCGTCGCAGGACGTCTCCGACCACACGCGCGCTTTGATGCATATGGCCACAAATCTGTCGAAGAAACTTACCAGTTGATGGTCGTTCTACAGTAGTCGCACGAGGCGGTGGCGCCAGAAGTGGAATATCGACTTCCGTATCGATTAACTTAGGAAGTGGACCGATGTGGACCTAAAAAGATGTGGACGTAAAAGAAAAAAATCAATTTCAGTTAGTGTCGGTCACTTTCAGTAATCTCTGCCACATTTTCCCCGAAATTTGCGATTTTTCGTAATCCTGGTTGGAATACTTATCGGAAAATTTCTATACATACGTGCAGAATGAAAAACCGTCGATATGGTGTGAAAGTTAAACCGAATAAACTTCTTTGCAATAGAACAGGCAGTTTTGATGGATATGCATTGAAACAGATGCATGTAGTATTATGGTCGCTTGTACGTTAAAAAGCTGGTCCTTCACGTACATTACTGATCGGTTCGTCCTTGAGTCCTCCATTTGTATTCGTCTCCAACGCCGGCATCCCGAGTGGACTCTCTGGTCGTTGCTCTTCCAACTCTTGCAGCTTCTCTTCATTCGGGCTTTCTCGACCAAACAAATACTTTTTCAGTGATGCTTCTGGTTTGTCGTCGAGATCCAACAAACTGTAACAAAGCAAACGTTTCTAAGAACCGAATGGTTTTTTTACTTACTATCTCTGAAATGCCGAAATCGAAGGTCAATTCGGTTGTGACTAAGTAGAAAAAAAATCACTTGTCGACTACTTCGTCACTGGCCTCGGTTGTAGGCAATCGTGAATATTCACCATCTCGCGCTTCCTTTTCCATGCTCTCTTGTCGCAATTTTTTAGCGACGTTTTTCGAAGGTTCGATAAGATCCTGGAAAATCCGGGTCTTCAAAAATTGGTAGTTTAAAATAGTGTGTTAAATAGATGAACTAAAAGAGGATAAATAATGTTTCTATTCTATTTAGGCATCATTTTTCACACTTACTACACTCCTTTTTATTAACCTCATTTTTTATATTCTTATTGAGCAAACACGAGGTGTTATTTTATTCTTTATTACAGAAAAGCCAACGCTTCGGCGGATTTCGACTTCCTCAGAGCCTGAGAAGGTCAAGTTGACCGCAATCTACCCAGCCAAACACCTCCACAACCAAAAGCTCGCTAACTTAACCTTCCCAGGCTCTGAGGGAAGCGAAATCCGCCCCGAAACGTCAACTTTTCCCCAATAATGGATAAAATAACACCTCGTATTTGCTCAATGAGAATATAAGGAATTATCCGATTAATGCCGGAGTTAACAGAAAGTCGGTGGTAGGAACTAATCTTATTATTTTTCAAGAGGCTAGAACTACCAAGAGAGTTATAAAAACGAATGATGGACGTGTACCATAGAGCGTACACTGGTCATAAGTGTCGTTTTTAACGCACTAGAGTTTGGATATGATTTCAAAACAGGGAAATACAGGAAAATCTCAAAGTAACCTTGAATTCGTAATCCAATATACATACCGTTAAAATCTCAAATTCATAGTGTTGATATGCGGATAAGTTTTCCGATAGTGCCGAATAAGCACGGCCCGTCTTCTCATAGTAGGCACATAACGCTTCTAAATATTTTCCAAGAAGATGAACAAGGAGATTTGAACGAGACGCAGACAATAAATCGACCTGAAAAGCACAATGGAACATTTCAACGATATCCTTGTAGAAATAAAGTATTACAAAAAAAGACCAGAAGAAAGTAGGTAGGCCCCACGGCTTACCGGTAGCTACGTAATCGTCAGGAACAAACAGTAGAAGGATAAAACTATCGGGGCGTTAACTATTCTCTGTGGCATGCACCATACATTTGACTTCACTACATCGTGAGAGGTAACTGAATACATGTCAGGGATAAACAGCGACATGAGATGAGCTATCGTTGTATCGTTCAGGCGACTTTGCTCCCGGTAAAATTTGGTATCAATTTGACGACCACGGAGGGACGGTGGACTTGGTGAGCCCAGGGCGCTGGACTGAACCAACTAGCATGAGTGTATTGCAGGGCATCTCTAACCACAGCGCTACATGGGCTTCTAATGCCAGCAATAATAAAAATAATTTTTTATGCTCTTTTTATTTTTTCGTGGAACTCACTGAGCAGCCTAACAACTGACAATGGGAAATAAAGTATTTGTAGATGTCGGCCGGCTCGGTTTATTTGATTATTAAGGAGGTCACAAGTGATAAAGATAATAAGTTCGCCTTTGAAAGCCGCACTCAGTGAACGAGTCATGATATAAGATAAGTAATAAGCGATGTCCGCCATCGTGAACATGGTGCTAGTTCGATTCCACTCCGCACCAAACAAGCCTCTCATCCCTCCGGGGTAGGGAAGTTGGTACCGGAGATGCCCGGGAAAAAATCACTCTCTGCAATCCAATTGGGAACGTTCCAGTTCGGTTATCTCAGGACTCCACGAAGAATCGACTCCAACCACCATTCTACGATATTCAAGGTGAAATGAAAATCCTCAAACAGTAGCCGTAGCCACACGTAAAAGTTCGAAGATCTTCGAGCATAATAGATGGGAGGAGACGAATTGAATGTCAGAAGTGCTGGGACCCACAGAGTAGACACGAAGACGGGTCATATAAGAATAAAAAAAGATGGTAAGTGAAAATAGGATGATGAATCAGATCCAACTCTACGGTTACAATGTTCAACTTTTATTTAGTACCTATTCTTTCTTTATAGTAGGGTATTATGTGAAAGAGAACCACAAGGATGCTGAGATATCAGAAAAGTTCGGAACCTTAGATGCGCTTCGAACCCGACTAAGCTTTCCAATGGTGCACGTGTTATCCACTGCACTAACCGACATCCCTGCTTTGCCTGTTTGTCAGCCAGCTCTTTTACTGTTGATTGCTAATAGCACCACTAGAGTAAAAGAACTAGCTGAGAGAAAGGCAAAGTAAGGATCGCGGTGTGTGGTAGATAGCACATGGATCACTGAAAAGGATAATCATGAGAATATCTTTACGCTTACTCATTATTCTGGATTGGATCACTTATGTAGCATTGTTCAAAAAATAAGTGTGAGTAGAGCTACGTAATGATAGTGGCTACACAATTAATGTTTTCGATTCGGTCACATTACCATTTTATCGACTTCTCTGTTAACGAAAGTGGAAGTTTCTAAGCGTGAAAATTTTTGTCTTTAACTACCTGTCGTAGGGAAACCTGTGGCGCAGTGGTTGGAGATGCCACTGCGACACACACGTGGAGTCGATTCCCGCGCCCGTGGCCCACCAAGCCTTCCATCCCTACTGGGTCGGCAAATTGGTATCAGACTTGCCTAGGAGGATAGCGGCACTGGCTCGATACATCGGTAGGCCACCGCGAGTCATTGCAAAGGCCAGATGTGCATTCAATCACCTCCAACGGTACTTAATGAAGTCGAATGCATGGCACATCCCTCAGGGATTGATCAACACCGAGAGCTTTATCCTTTAACCTTTATTTTAATTGCCTGTAATGCAACACAACAGTTCACCTTCTAGCATAAAAACTCTCACCGTAACCCCATATAAACTTTCGCTGGAAAAGTCCAATTTTTTTTTGGTCCAAATTGCTATCGAGGAGCAGCATCTTAGCTGTCCTTTCTCATGGTAATTCTATGTAACCCGTTTCAAATATTTTTTTTTACTATTATTGATTTCTCCTTCCTATTTCTATATTTCTTTTATTTCTCCTTTCTATTTCTACATAATATATTCTATATTTCTGTATTCTCGTGTGCGCGTTGGGGTTAGTGCATCACTAAGAATAGCAAAAAATGCAAGCCCTTCCACAAAACGTGTGACAAGCGTGGAATCTCTCGAACAAACTGAGACCACCGAGCAGTACTGGCGTGCACAAAAGAACAACCTTAAAGATCATAAGTTATCGTTACAATCTAACATTTTTTTCCCAGGATCGACTTTCTATTAACCTCGGCATTGGAATATGTATGTGTCGTTTTCTTGTTCAGCAATCGCGAGGTTTTTAAACAGCATACATTTACTTCCATAGAAAAACACAATACAGTACAACAGTAGCTGACGTTTCGGTAGTGTCGCCTTCTTCAGAGCCTGGAAGGGTATACTGATATACAATCTACTAGGCCAAACGCTTTAATAACACTTACAAAAAGACGAAAAACTCTATGGTAATTACATGATCAACAGCTTCTCGAAAAACTCACCGCTTTTTACGTGACTTCCAATGAAGAAGTTTAGAACAGCTGATTATAGTCGCATATGGTTGATGACTGCACCATTCCACATCAGAAATTGATGCGAACATACGGGGTCAGGTCGCGTATGACCTCTGGGCATTCATCCCTGCTATTCATTGTAGAGTTTTTGGCATTTACCCAAAAAGCCTCAAGAACTTTTCGGCGCTGGCGTTTTAGTCTCCTGTGCGAGGATATTGACTTTTACTTCAAAATCGTCTCCGCTATGCCATTAATTACCATAGTTAATTACCCGTAATTGCCAAAGAGTCTTTCGTCTTTTTGTAAGTGTCATTGAAGCGTTTGGCCTAGTAGATTGTATATCAGTATACCCTTCCAGGCTCTGAAGAAGGCGATACTGCCGAAACATCAGCTAGCGTTGTATTGTATTGTGTTTTTTATGGAACTAAATGTATGCTGTATAATAACCTCGCGATTGCTGAACAAGAAAACGACGCATTAACATTTTTTATACATTATTTTTCACTGACCTTCACAACTTGTAAACGATCAGTTACAACCAGTGAAGAAAATGAAAAGATCCTCAAATATAGACGGACTCCACTGAAAGACGGTACACCAGAAGGAAACATACTGAGCCTAAGCCATCCAGTTTTTTGTCATTTTTTGAGCTTTTAACGACTTGTCGATGAAATATCTACATTGTTAAGTTTGAATTTATAGCAGTAAAAAATTAGTTTATGTAGTGAAAAACACCTTTTGAAGAGTATCCACTTTGAGTTTGTCGAGCTTCTCTTTGTTCAGGCGTACCGCCGATTGGGCTTCACGAAATTTCTCCAGCTGACGGTCAGTGTCAGGATCCAGCTGGAAGCAATTCAGTTTATCTTGGAAAAGCGTGATTTCATTTTCCTTACGCCAAAAACCTTAACAGAGGAAGCATTAAGAAGCGAATTGAAAGCACCTAAAGTATAGATAGTTACTGTGTAAGTGGAAATACGTTAACAATCAACTCTACGTATAAAATAGTTATTCAAAAAGGCGAAATTACATTAGTAGTTGCAAGAGAAAATATTTGTATTATTCACACTAAAAGTTAATGATTCATTAACTGACAAGTCACCACCATTGTGATTAATTAACAGCTCAACATCTTAAATAAGAACGAATAAATAAAGTACTAGTCTCATGAAAAATAAAAACTCCCTGGGAGGTACAATCGGTGGTCAAAAGAGCAGACTATTCTTTGTTAACCGTTTTGTCTACTGCCTATTCTCTTTAATGGCAGGGTATGTTACGAAGTATAACTTCAATGATCCCGTTGACGGATGATTGCTGATAGCAGATAGGCGATAGAGCTAGCTGAGAGACAGGCGAAACGAAGGACACGCATGGTGTGGTGGTGAACGCGTTACTCCCCGGAAAGGACAATAGTGTGTTCGTTCCCCACCGCAGACACCTGCTGTCCGGAGTTTTGCAAATAGCGCAGCATCATTGAAGATTATTCTTTGATCATATTTCTAAATACAACAACTGATTTGTTTATTTTTGGGGTTAGTTGATCGTAAAGGTCCATCGTAACTACATGGAACGAACACTAGAGTGAATGAAGTAAGTGGTACGGTAATTACGACCTCTTCACTCGTTTTCTTCATCCATAAAAGACTTCCACGATATTCAAGACGGGCACGTTCGACCGCTTCGACTGTCTGCAAGCAGTCAAAAATTGCCCGTTCAGCGAACACATGCAACTCTTGATAGAATCTGAAAGGTATGGTTTTTAATGGACTACTGTAATAGTGTGCGGTGCAATAGTTAGAGGTGCAATGTAATATACACAACATCAGTGGTTCAACCCGGCTCACTGCTTAGTCAGTCCCAACACTTCTTCGGTTGCTTACAAACAATGAAAAAACGAAACACCAATTTACACTATACTTGTGACTAAATAGAAAAAACTGACTTCACATCCAAAAAGGACGGTTTCTCTTTCTTTCAAAACTCTTAGAAATTACTTCATTTATTACATGGAGTCCTCCCAACAGTTCACGGCCTCATCGTGGCTGGGAGGTGTTCCTTAGGTGCCGGGCCGCCAAGTACAACGGCGAGTTCATTCACTTAACAGGATCTCTCAAGATGAGGACTTCGATGTTTTCATCCGGAAGTCTAGCTGAGAGAAAACCAATGCAAATACTTGGAATCGCCATCGCCTAAATATGAAAATAGTCGCATGGTGGTAATTCATCCTCTCATCCACAAAGGCGTCGACTGACTGGAGTGATGACGACCTAAGCAAGGCCTTCTCTGGACCACCCTCGAGACTCCATGGAACCAATATGGCTAAACCAGCAAAATTTGGCCCTCAGTACCTTGCACAATGGGTGCTACCGTCTACGAAGTCGGCTGGGGAGAACTGGTGAGAGGCGATGAAATCTCGGATTGCACGAGACGTCACTGGAAGCGGGCAAAACGAGTACACCTACGTCACGCTATGGTGACTGCTTCTTGCTATGCACCCATATTGCTAGAACGGTCTCTTCAGACGCCGACCTTTAAGGTCTTACTAAGGCTGCCAATTGCATCAAACTACATGCGATTGTCCCAGAAGAGACGAAAGCAGAAAGACTGATACATGTCAATTGGATGATGGAACCCTTGTCATTGGTGGAGAGAAATTTCCGTTATGAAATGTTGGAGACGTTAGCTTTGCTGTATACCCATTTATTTTCCATTTAATCACTTCCTACAAAATGCTATCACTGCGCTTGGCCTTTCTTCGGTCCCAACTTGCATGCCAGAAGAAAATCGGTATCACCAGCTGTTACTTACCAACACGTACAGCTGATGACAGCGAACTAGACGCGTTCTACAAGCAGTTTGAGGAAGTAATCCACAGCGACAACTCTTTCTATAGATTTGTTGCTCAAGACGACAACACCAGATTGGGAACAGGCAACGAAAATGAACACAGGATAAGAAAATTCGGAATAGAAAAACGAAATGAAAATAGAAACCGTCCCGTAGGACTTGCCCCCAGCACGCCTCTTCTACCGAAATTCATTTTTCTAGAAGACAGAAGATGGTCTGATCGCCGGTGGATATGGAAGTCTCGTGACGGCGCGACTCAAGTGAACATCGATCATATTCGCACGGGCAGAAAGTGGTGCTACTTTGACACCTCAGTTCTACACGAATTCTATACCGGATCTGATCACCGCCTTCACCGCGCCAAGATTCGATTCAGCCACAAAATGAAAAAGAGCTCCAGTCATCGTCAATGAGAAGAAAATAATTTGTGTATGACGGATATTCTTAACAAAATCCTCCTCTCCTCATATGAGTAGCAGATAAACGAAGATCCGACCGAGGACTGCACACTGCTTGTCGAAGGACTTAAAACTTGCGCCGAACTCGCCTCAGTTCCTCAAACAAGAAGCTCAGGCTGCATTTCCATTACCGCTGAGTTGTTCAAAAAGAGGGCATTAAAGCTTGGTCCTACTGCAACATATCTGACGTGGCCGATAATAAATGCGGTAATGGATATTGGTATTCGACTAGAGGAGGCGACTTTTAGAAGAAGATTTACATCGATGCCGACAAAAAAAGTTATTGGAAGCAGCTCAAAAACGATCTAGTCTGACGAAGTGTCGTCGGGATCATAGCGACTATAATGTTCCGCTATCCGCATTGATGAACGAAAATGGGACTATCACCAAGTCTCTTTATGATATGGATTTGATAACGGAAAGGCTCTATACCAATCTTTTCCGTTCCACAATTACAATGTCGTACACCGAAATCGCCACTGGTGAAAAACCGTCCGGGATTACACCCGCTGAAGTCTGAGTTGCGATGAAAAGAATAGTGAAGGAAGGGATCTTCGCAACCACCATCCAATAAGCTTGCTGAGTGTACTCTATAAGGTGATCACGAAGATTATGCTTTTGCGCATATTGAGGCACATCCAGTTGAGCAAACGAGATTCTCGTAGGGGTTCTTCTCCATGGAGGACCTCCAAACCATATCACGAGTCATAGAAGTCTGTCGGTAGTGCCATCTGCACTTTCTGCTAACTTTTATCGACTACCCAAAAGTGTTAGGCAACGTCACAACTAAAGCAATCCCGGCGCTTGTTGACCATGGAGTGGGTCAGTCCTTTATACGCGTTTATACGCCTACTGTTGTCGGAACTGGAGTGCAGGTACACAGCTTGTTCATCTGCACCTCGCCCTACACAATGGAAAAAGGTTTTGACAAGGCGACACGATATCCCCAAAGCTGCTTACGGCGCAATGCAGTGGAAAATGAAGCCACTCGACTGGAACGAGAAAGGCATATGCATTGATGGAAAATCCCTACCACAGCTTCTTTTCGAGGACTACATCATCGTCTTTTAAAGGAGTACCAGTGAAGCAGAGACAATGCTCTGCGTATAAATAACTCGAACACTCAGCCCACGAGGAACATATGGTGCGAAGGTGAACAAATCCAACTAGATGGTTCTCTTGTCACAGAAACCACCTCATATGTGTACCGTATACCTTCAATGAATATGTGGAACAACATAAAGGAGGAATTGGATATAAGAAGAAAAGCAGTACAGATCGCATCTGTGCTAAGCAAAGAATCCACCGACCAACTACCGGACTCGGAACTTCGCGCTCACCTTTCCGATTCAGAAGTCTCCCTAGCGCTCTTTTATGCAACGCAAACGTGGGTTGATACATCAACCACGTCAAGCATTCTCTGTACCACCGACAGAGTGCTTAAGGAATGTCTTCTGAAATTTCATCGACACTCACAACGTTTGACTACAGTGCGCAGCTAAGATCTTCAGAATCTATCCCACCTACGAGATTCGGGAGAATTTAGACCAGTAGCGAAACATGGATGGGCCCACCATACAATAAGAAGAACAAATAACACACAGACGAAGAGAATAGTAGACTAAACTCCAAGAGAATGAAAGCGTCCTCTTGGCAGATCACCCAAACGATTGGTAGACGTGTTCGAAGCTAACACCAACCATCTGCACTCCCAGATGGCAACTATTTCAGAATTACGGAATGGGTCACGTAGACGTCACTATGTATTCGATCACCTCCATATGACGCTTAATGAAGTCGAGTGCACGGCGCATCCTTCAGGGATTGATCAACGCCAAGAGCTCTATCCTTTTGTTAATTTTTATATCTGGGTATTATATGAAATACCACAAGGACGCTGAGATATGAGTAAAACTCGGAACCTCAGATGAGATTCGAACGCACGATTACATTTTCTGGGGATTCACTTATAGCTTACTTATTTTTTCGATTGATGACTGAGATAAGAAAAAATCAGTTTGTAGATCAGTTTCGGTTATTCAATCTACTAGCTATCTCTACGACAGTTGAGCTGTGCTGTTTAGGATTTATAAAAAAGCTTGTAACGAAACATTGTCTCGACTTCGTGGTTTGTAGCTCCGAAATTCTGACCGTAATCCTTCCATGAACTCTAGAGTACTAAAATTTACTATATTCTACTGTAGAAGCGTAAAAGCATCTATTTTTAACTAATTCCTTAGAAATGAGTTACTCATTAGGCTCCGTTAGGAGTCGTGAGAGTGATTAATGGACCATTTAGCGCAAGCAGTGAGTTATGGTGACCTACCAACGTGTCAAATCAATGCTGCTGTCCATCCAAAGATGCCTGTTACCCAATTTACCAATATGTGTAGGAAAGAAGGCTTGGTGAACCTGGGAATCGACCCAATGGCTACGTATGTGTTGCGGGACAGCTCTAACCGCAGCGCCTCGGGGCCCACACAATCAGTGAGGACGGGCCGTTCATGTTCCTATATCTCCAGCAAAGAGGTAGCACCCAGCCTCTGTGTGTTGGACGGTCGGTCTGCTACCATAATGTGTGTGCGTATAGTGTATAGTACAGCATCTCTAACCACTACTTTTCTTACGCACCTCTTTCTTTTATAAATGAAAAATATACAAATAGCGAAGGAACAAACAGAACCTTAGCAATGGCACTCTTATTGCTGCTCGTTGATGACTGCTGAAGAGCATCACCCGTCCGAGTGCGATCAAAATTCGACTAGTCTCTTCACGTTTATCGGCTTTTCCTCGTTCCTTCATATATTTCCCCAGTTCATTTTCACAGAGCGTTACGTCTAAAGCAAAAGCAATTCGTTAAACTGCTACAAAACCAGTGCAGGTTACACAAACAACTTTGTACTTTATTTATTTATCCTATAGATTAAATCATTGGTGCTCATTATGATACGGTACCTTTGAGTTATGAAAAATAACAAATAAGTAACAATTCATCTTAAAACTCCTGAGAGTGTGGCATAACAGTTTTTTAAACTACAGTATTGCTAGGATATTTGCAAAAAATCCGGACAGCAGGTGTCTGCGGTGACGAGCGAAATTTTTTAAACGTTCTACATATTACTTAGATATTACTACACTTAGATTAGATAAGTATTACTTCTAAGAAAACACATTTCACACATAATTGTTCTGTTATTTCTGAATGGAACATGTTCTTTGAACTGGAAAAAAAGTTGAACAACTTAGTTGACGGTATGGTCGAGTTTGTCAACCATTATATTAAAAGAAATAGTTTGACAGCAGTGTTGTGAAACCCCGCAGAAACTTCATTGCATTGTCTATGAAGAAACCCGACGAAGTGAAAAGCCTCATTCGATTAACACTGACCGCTGGTCATGTCGGGATGTTCCAGCTGCGCTATCCAGTGAATAAGCATCTACAAAACCATTAAAAAACCGCAATGTTTAACTCTTCATTTACTGCCTATTATTTTTTTCACGACAGGGTATTATGTTAGATACAACCACAGTGATGCTATGATATTTACAAAACTCAGCTCCTATGCCAGATTTGAACCATCGATCACTCTTTTCAGGGGCTCGCATGTTACTCAATGCATCACTGAGGACCTTGCGCTGTGTTTCTCTCAGCCAGTTTGTACCCTAACGATGCCCTAACAATCACCCTCCAACGGGAATGGTCTCGAGAGCCTAAATCGGAATTGAACCCTAAACCGATGCTGTTTTCAAAATCACAATATTTCACTTTTTATTTACTGACCAATTTGCCGACCTCGGAGCGATGGAAGGCTTGGTGAGCCATGGGCGCAGGGATCGATTCCACATGTGTGTCGCAGTGGTGCCTCCAACCACTGTGTCACACGCGCCCTATAGCAACCATTCCTTAAATAGTTCCTATATGTTTCCTTATGTCCTCTACAATAACTGTTTTACTTGTAATCGTTGTACATCTATTCTCGCATTCTGTAAATTATTCGTGTTCTTGTTAAGCAAAAGCGAGGTGTTATTTCTGCTCTTTATTCACGAATAAGCTGACGTTTAGGCGGATTTCGCCTTCCTCAGAGCCTGGAAAGGTCAAGTTGACAGCAATCTATTCGGCCAAACACCTCCATAGCCAAACAAAGAAAACGCTAAACCAAGATTCCAATAACATTGAACACAGTTTTGCACACTCACCGCTTTCTATGAAGCTTCTAATGAGCATGTCGCGTGAAGACCAACCGCATAGAATTCACATGGAAGTGTATTGTGCCCCTCTCATCAGAATAACAGTCTTATACACTGCCCAATATCACGCGTGATAATGAGGCATTCTTCCCTGCGGTTCATTTTCGGATTTCTTGAATTAATCTAGAACGCCTCGAGAATTTCGCGTGCTCGTGTTCTTGAGTCCTGGGCGAGGATCGTGACACGTACTTCAAAGTCCTCCTTGTTATGTCTCTGGGTCCTATGCGTGCCTAGTGGGGTATTCGATTGACGTTTGCCGGCTAGGTGTTCTTTTATGCGGACGCAGAGGGGTCTGCCCGTTTCGCCAATGTATCCGTCTTCGCACGCCTTACACGAGATCAAATAAACTATACCTGAGCTCATGCAATCACCGTCCCTACTATTGGGGCAAATTATGCAATTTTGTGTTGCGCACAGACGGTCATATAGGCGGTTACGAAGTGGCTGGCACCCATGATTACTCGGTGGCGATGGCATTTCAAATACATTTACTGAATTCTCTAGACCAGCCCTTCTTAAGCAGTGTTTTCTAGCTGCACTTACATCATTTGAGATGAAGGTTAGGATAAACGGGACCTTTCTATCGGTCCTTTTTTAACCCTAATATTTAACCAGTTGTTGAAACACATCCCAGCCCATCTTACGAATATCCAAATGTTTCTAGATCGTCTACATACTGCGCAGCCCAGTAGCGCGTACGTGATTGAGTCCTTCGACGTTACCGCCCTTTGATGGATATCCATCAACTAACTTAAATACTTACAACAAATAAACGGCTCTGAAGAAGGCGAAACCGCCGAAACGTCAGCTATTGTATCCTAATAAATCCTATAACAACCTCGTGTTTGCTTATTGAAGAAAAACATCGAATTACCAATCAATGCCGAGGTTAAAAGAAAGTTGTTCATGGGAATTGATACGTGAAGTGCCAGCAGAATATTTCCAACTCGTAAAAGAAGTCCTATCACTAAAACAAAAAACTGTCTTAGCTAGACAAACGATACTCTTTCTCCGCGGCTGTCTGAAACACCGAGTCGTGCCGAACTTCATCAAACGAAAACGACTACGCGAGGTATGCGGCCTACCCAGGGACAGTCAACTAGTACTGGACATCGAAACGCGACTACTACGCCCCTATCTTCGATGCAAACAGGACACCATGTACGCGCATTTGAAAAAGTTCAAGTCGAAGGAATCTTACTGTGTTAAGTATTTGAAGGATTCCCCTTCGAGGAGAATAGTGGGTGGGTCAATTTTGATTTGCGATTCTATTAGGTCGAATGCTAAAGTAACCTTAAGCAGAAAGTTTCAAAGTTCACTACATCATTCGCAAAAACCAGCTTCAATTAAGCAAAGCAAAATCGTTTACGAAAGCGCTAGCACTAAATCGATAACGTGCCTGAAAAGTCAAGGGTCACCGTGCTAAGAGGCATAACCAACGCAACCCATTTCTAAGGAAACCTTACGTAGGATCGCGTGCAGCCTGCACGAGCTCTAAGAACGACTCCGAAGCAGCGCTGGAATTGAGACAAGAAATAAAAAGGAACAACGAGAAGTAGGGGCACTACCACCACCTCCATTTCCTCGGTTATTCTTTACACAGCAAGACCCAAACGACGAAGTCGATATAAAACATCGTATATTTTCGAGCGAAACACTCAAAGCCCTTAGCCACTTATCACGCGAAAAAGTTTAGTTCGAACCTTATAGCTGTGCAAAAATCTGCTATGCGACAATTTCGAGAGCGCAGCAAGCTTAAAACCAGCAGACATTTCGCATCTTAAGATCGAAGTGCCGACATGTCCCGTCTTATATTTACTTATCAAGACCCATAAGTTAATATCCGCCGATGATCTGGCGTCTACCGACCCCTCCACCTTTAAAGTGAGACCCATCGTCAGTTGTGTAGACGGGTCTACGGATAGAATTGTTTGGTTTATAAATCTTATCCTCAACCAGTTGCTTAGGCACATACCAGCCCATCTCACGAACACCCAAATGTTCCTAGACCGTCGTCGCAACGCACGTCCCAAAAGTGCGTACGTTGTGGAGTCGTTCGACGTTACCGCCCTTTGCACTAACGTGTCGAACGACTCCGATATGCAAGCCATCCGAGAGCTTGTTGAGCAACACGAAGAGGCAATTAACATGTGATGTGTGGCTTTTCGATTTAGCAGCTTATGGTCCTCCTAAAGGTCTGTTTAAACTGCTCGATTTTCAGATGGTCCGGGAAATACTACGCACAAATTAGAGGGTTGGCAATGGAACAGCGACTGCCACCAACCCTTACCGTTGCCTTTATGTCTAAAGTGGGAGCACCAGTAACCGATCTCAGGCGGTTACTCTACTCTAGGTATATGGATTATTGTTTTGTCATCTGCTCCACACAAGAGGAGATGGACAAATGCTTTGAGTTATTGAACGAACAGTCAGAGTACATAAAATTTACCCGTAAGAAACCAAAAGAAAACTGGCTTCCATTTCTAAACGTTCAAATCAACCTATCCGAAAACGGCTACAACACAAAATGGTATCGAAAGCCAAGCAGTAAGAATATAGTAGTTCATTACCTCTCCTCTCATCCGTCACACACTAAAAGGGCGCTTATAAAATAAGAATTATGTTTCGAACCCCCACCAGCGTGTGCACAGGTAGAGAGGAGAGGAAAGAATTCTCGAAACTGGTGCGCCAAATAGCCATTTCAAATGGTTACGAAACTGTAGCTTTTCGGCATAGGTATATTGGAAAAACCACATCCCAGAGCGATAATTCTAGCGAAAACAAGGCTCCGTTCCTCTTGCCCTTTATTTCAAACGAAATAAGTGCAGCTGTAAAACATTGCTTAATAATGCCCGGTCTAGAGAATTCCGTAAGAGTGATAGAAATACCATCGGACACTCTAAGACGCCAGCTAGTTCGCAACGGCCTATATGGCCGTCTAGGTATAACGAAAAACTGTAATTTGCTCTAACGGTAGAGACGGTGACTGCATGAGTTCGGGTGCAGTCTATCTGATCTCTTGTAAAGCGTGCGTGGACAAACACGTTGGCGAAACGGGTAGACCGCTCTGCGTCCGCATAAAAGAACACCTAGTCGGTAAATCTAAATTAAAACAAAATACTCCACTAGGCGCGCATAGGATGTAGCAACACAACGGAGAAGATTTTGAAGTAGGACTCACTATCCTCACGCACGAATCGAAAACATCAGCGCGTAAAACACTTGAAGTGTTTTGGATCAATTCCAAAAATTCAAAAATGAACCGCAAGGAGGAGTGTCTTGTCATCACGTGTCACCTGGCGCCATACCTCAGGCTAGTCCAGTGACCTGACACAGACACAGTTATCGCCCATGTATTACTCTGTGCGGCTACTATCCATCAACTAACTTAAATACGTACAAAAAATAAACGGTAGGTGTTTAAATGAAGCTGTTTCTTATGCGAATACAAATTTATTTGTTAAGTTTTATCTGCTAGGGTCATGAAAGTGTTTGGCTGAGTAGACCGCATCTCAATTTGACTTTTCCAGGCTCTGAAGAAGGCGAAACCGCCGA